TCACTGGGTTGAGCGTCCCACTTCAGTTCAGGTCATGATCTCATGGTTCACGAGTTCAAACCCCATGTGCGGCCCTGTGCTGACAGCTCAGAGCCTGGAGCCTGCTTCGGATTCTGTCTCCCTCTCTCTGCCCCTCCCCCGCGAGTGGGGGCTCTCTCTGTCTCTCAAAAATAACCAAACATTAACAAAAAAGAAGAAGAAGAAGAAGGAATTCTCCTGGGAGCTTGGGAAGAACCCATAGTACAGGCCTTCAGCCCAGGAGGCTCCGTCATGCCAGGTCTGGACGGGCCCAGGGATCTGCATCCTATGGGTCTCATTTCTGACTCGAGGCTCTGGACGTTCTGATGCAGGGGCCCCTGGGCCACACTTGGAGAAACACTGCTTCATGGGGCAGAGGGAATAGTAACTATGGAGTGGACAGGGGCATGGGAAGTGCAGGGGGGAAGCTGCTGGGGAGCCCGGGACTGAGTCTGTCGGGGAGAGAACAGTCCCAGCAGCCTTCCTAAAAGTTTGCAAAGGCGCAGGGATCACTGCGCATGGGCGCAGCGGGGGAGGGAGCTGTTGGGGAGGGCACGGCGGCACGAGGCAGCGTGGCTTGTCTGGAGAGCTAGAGACGGGTGGCCACGAAGCAGGCGTACATTCGTCGACCCCACTCACCACAGAGGAGTCGGGGAGTGTGCGCAGGGGCCTGCTGGGATAGAGGCCTTGAACTTGCTGAACAGCTTAGAAGCCACCCAGTGGGCAAAGGGTCTAACAGACCCAGACAAGGGCACCCCCCTGGTCCTGTCACTGTGTCACCCTTACTCGGGGAAGGGCCATGTAGAATTGTGCTGGTTTTACAAAGCACATCTACAGGCATCTGTGCCTGGCGCCCCTCACTGCGGCATTATAATTCTCTCCCTGTTTGAGTCGAGACCCCTGAGCTCTGAGAGGGAACATGACTTCTCTGGGACCACACAGCGTGTTGGAATCTCTCTCTTGACTCCAGGGCCGTGGGGCAGAGATGGTCCCCTCGGGGAAGGCTACTGGGTGGTCCTTGGTGACCACTCTCTTGCTTCTCTGGGAAACAGGGAATCTCGGTCCCTAAGCAACAAGGCCCAGAGGAAGAGACATTTCTCTAGAAATGAGAGCAAGGACAGCCTCCTGCTGGTTTAGCTGAGCTTCTGGCCTTGTTCCCACCTGCCTAACTGGCTCTGAGTCTGGGAGTGGGCCCTCAGGACAGGCAGCCCCCCCCTACCCCGGGCCTTTGCTGGCTCCCACCCACCCCAAGCACTGGGCTCACCCCCTCCTCTCTCTCCAGGTGAATCTGGGAAATCTGGGGATCGCAGCGGCTACAGCAGCCCCGGCTCCCCGGGCACCCCCGGCAGCCGCTCCCGCACCCCGTCCCTGCCGACCCCGCCGACCCGGGAGCCCAAGAAGGTGGCGGTGGTCCGCACTCCACCCAAGTCGCCATCTTCAGCCAAGAGCCGCCTGCAGACGGCCCCCGTCCCCATGCCAGACCTGAAGAATGTCAGATCCAAGATCGGCTCCACCGAAAACCTGAAGCACCAGCCAGGAGGCGGGAAGGTAAGGGCGCTCAGAGGCCGGCTGGGTGTGTGCCCGTCCCAGGACAACCAGGAGAAGGTGTGTGGGTGCCCCCCACAGTGACTCTCACCTCACATGGCACCCCAGTCCCTCTCGGATCTCTTCAAGGAAAGACGGCACGTCATGGTTCCATTCTGTTTGGGCGTCCCCACCAAGCCGTGAGTGCTCTCCCTGCTCAGGGGAGAGAAAGTACTGGTTCTTTCCTTTCCTGTTTGGGCCTCTGCTGACGGGACAGTATCTGAGACGACAAGGGTTGGTTGTCTCTCCATGGGGTAAAGCCTGGGCGTTCTCAAAGTGGAGGCACCCGCAGAGGTTCCCCAACCTTATATTTAGAACATGATGCAAGCAGTCTACAGGTGAGTGCCTCTGGCATTCGTTAGACGTTAGGTTAGGTTTCTCTCAAATCCTCAGTTCTGAGGAAATTTGGGGTGCCGTTTGGAACAAGCAATTCCTCAGAGCCGGTGGGCGCTCATGAAATCTTTGGGTTTCCTAAAGGTGGAGAGACGTGAGCGTCCAAGGGCGTGAGGTGGTGGGAGATAGGGACTGACCTGGACCCCCTTCCTCCTCTTCATGTCCCTGCCCCCCCCATTGTATGAGTGTCCTAAGGCTGACGTAGAAAATACCACAGACTGGGCAGCTTATATAACAGAGGTTTATTTCCTCACAGTTCCGGAGGCCAGAATACCACGATCAAGGTTATCAGCAGGACCAGTGTTTTATGAGGTCTCTGCTTGGCTTGTGGATGTGGCCGCCTTCTCGTGTCCTCACGTGGTCTTTTCTCTGGTGCCTCTGTGTCCCAGTCTCTCCTTCCTGGAAGGACACCAGTCATACTGGATAGGGGCCCACCTCTTTAAAGACGTCATCTCCAAATACAGTCGCGTTCTGAGGCACTGTGAGTTAAGACATCAGCATATGAATTTTGGGGGCCACGGGTCGGCCCGCAACAGCCTGTCTCCCCCTCCAGCACCAGGAAGGGGAGTGGAGAAGGGAGAATAGGTGGCGTGGATGGGGGACAGAGGACCACGACTCCGCTCTTAGGAGCACAGATGTGCTTGGCCTCCTGGGCTTGGGCCGTCTTGGGGGGCGACGAGCCTCTGGCTGTGCTGGGGGGAGCATTACGGCATCTGGAACCAATGTTTCCCTTCTAGTTAGAACCATGTGCCTCCCCCACAGCGGGGGCCTTTGCAGTATTGACGTTATTTATCGCTCGTGGCTGGCGTCTGGGTCACCGTGAGGGGAGGGCGTCTCAGCGCTTTCTGTCCATGTTGGTGCCTTAATTGAAACCCTGTGCCTTGGTCCCCATGGAGCCTCAGGACCTCTCCCTGGCCTTTCCCATCCCGGGGCTGTAGAGTCCTGCCCAGTTGGGAGGCCTGGGTGCCTCCTGGGGTAAAGCCCTGGGTCTCATGGCCACTGGTCTTTGGTCCACAGAGTTGGCCTTGTTTACTTCCCGTGTTTACTTTTCTGCAGTGTTTGCCTTGGCTGCTCCTTGTAAACATGCCCATCTCCTTCCAGAAGGGGCTGGAAGCTGGGGCAGCCGGGGTGTTGACTTGAAGTTGGCCCCTCCGGGAGGTTCTCGGCAGAGGGATCTGCAGGAATAGTGTTTCCGAGGTGGTGGGGTGTTGGCCACTGGTGGTCGCACAGGCCCCTCAGCACCGACAGTGTCTGGTGTGTGTGCCCTATTCTCACGACATAAAGTGGCCGTTTGCTCCTCGCTTTGAAAAAGGAAAAACAAAAGTGACCGTTTGCTCCTCGCTTTGAAAAAGGAAAAACAGGGGCGCCTGGGTGGCGCAGTCGGTTAAGCGGCCGACTTCAGCCAGGTCACGATCTCGCGGTCCGGGAGTTCGAGCCCCGCGTCGGGCTCTGGGCTGATGGCTCGGAGCCTGGAGCCTGTTTCCGATTCTGTGTCTCCCTCTCTCTCTGCCCCTCCCCCGTTCATGCTCTGTCTCTCTCTGTCCCAAAAATAAAATAAATAAACGTTG